TCCAGTCTGTGACTCCATGGTAAGACTGGTCTAGTGACCCAGGAGTTCAGATTTCCCCAGGCCAGTAACTAATGTGATTATAGACCACCCCGCTCATTGGGGTGTCTGCCCTGTTTTCCGACAGTCTGCCGGAGGTGGACACTCACGGTCGCGAGCCGCTCCAGACAGCTAGTAACCAGCATCCACTGCACGAGACTGCATGTGTTTTCCACGGAAACGTTTTGAGCAGCTCTGCCCCTGGGAAGGGTGAAAACGTGTGTGGCGAATCATGGGCTCTTGAAGATGGGGAGGCTGGAAGCAGGGTACAGAGTGTTTGCCCTGCCACTGTTTACCACCCTTGTTTTGTGGATAAAAGGGCCTTGGCTTCTCCGGCTGCTAACTCAGCTCTTCTCAGCAGCTCAGCCATCTAAGAACAAAGCCCTGGAAACATCCCCTTTCCCCACATATCAAACATCCCTTCCCCAGTTAGGCAATCCGTCAAGCAATGGATCCCTGAACCTCCCTGCCTCTGTGTAATGACCTGGGTGTCGACCTTGTGAAATCCTCAGCTAAGCTAGCCGGGTTTATCTTGCCTCTCTGATATGCGGGTGTCTTGGGGGTGGAGGGTGGGTGTTAGGCGCACATGGGAACTAATTAAACTGCTGGCAAGACAGATCCATCCCTAGTCCGGTCACCCACCTCTCCTGGTCTCCATAGTCTAGGAACAGACTGGGAGTCCCGCAGAGGCAGGCCCTAAAGCACATCAGATCACAGAATAGAAAGTTAGTTGCTGAGACCTTGGGTCTGAATTGCAGCCACCTCTGGGGTGGAGGTGGTTGTGCCAGTGTTGGAGGGGCAAGGGAGACCATCGGCTTGAAGCAACCTCCTCCACGGAGCAGGTAGAGCCTCGAACATAAGACCGGCTCGGCCCTGCGTCTTTCCAAGGCAGAGAAGTTGCAGGATTCTGAGCTGTCGCATGGGGAGTGGCTGAAATCCAGAGCTGGTGCCTAGATCCCAGAGCTGTTCCCTCTCTCATTTGGCGTAACTGGATGCTGGGCCGGCAGTTCCCGCTGAGCAGCGCACCTGCTGGCAAGGGAGGCTGCAGCTACGCGTGGACGTGGCATAGAATGAACGTGATGGGGGAAGGAAGCTAATCACGGGCCCTTGTCTCTCCCTGCCCGGCATCTGGGTAACATGGGTGTGACCGCGTGGGGCAGGGGGAATCGGGCCCAGGATCAGCCTCGCATCCCGGGGCAAAGGCAGTGCCGTTTCATAGGGGAAGAACACTCTCCCCTTCCTGTCCCCTGCCCGCAGCTGATGCAAACCTCCTGGGCAGCTGATGGTGCGGTTCTGCAAGCTGCCCTTGGACAAACAGGGCTGGGTTGGGGCTGGCCCCAGGGCTTGGACACTGGGGCAGAGGAGTAGCCCCTCGAGCTCGCTAGCCAGTCTCTGCTGGATGCAGAAACCTGCCTCCAGATGGGTTAATGTTGGGGGGAAGGGGTGGGGACGTGGCACAGCTGGCTACCCCCTTCACCTCCCAAAGGGCAACCCTGCCATTCCTGCTACCTCATCTCCGCGTGCACAGGATCACCATCTGCAAAGGGAGTGCTGCTCCCTGATTCGAGGGATCCCCCGGCTCTCACTAGTCATCTCTCTTTCGCGCAACCACAACTGATCTAGTGAAGATTAATGCCGGGCTGACACCTGATTCCCAGGGGCCGAGGCTCCCTTACTCTATCTGTTACATAGAGGTGTCGGGTTCGCCTCACTGTCACTCCCGGCCAGGGAGGGGCTGGAATCGGTGCCAGGAAACCTAAAGGTTTGTGCTAACCACTGGGCTTGCAGGCAAGTCTGTGCAGCAACTGGCCAAGTGACAGCACTTGTGGCTGCAGGCCCCTTTGAAAGCAACCTTTTCCTTCCTGGGAAATATCTGCTGCTGGGGTGGTCTCCAAAGAGCGCTTTACCTTGGCTGCATGTCAGGAGTTTTGTAAACTGTAACACTGGCTGGGAACTCTTTGACAAATCCCCTTTTGGCCAAAAAAATGCTAATTTGTCAAAGCAGAACGGGTTCGCAAGACGGGGCCGGTTTGGACGACTCTCCCAACTTGGGGGAAAAGTTGCAGAAAAGTTTGGGAATTGTTCCTTTCGACCGCAGCAAGTTTCCCAGTTCAAAGTGACTTTGTTTCAGAACGTAAGCTCGCTAGGCTGAAAAGAAAAAAGAGAGCCGATCAAAATGAAACACTTGGCTTGACCCAAACAAAAATCTTTTGACGACTCGTTTGGCCACAGACAATTTTTTTGTCAAGATTTTTGTTGCGGTTCCAGTTCGGGATGGTAAAAAAAAAAATTTAAACTCTTGAAAATCTTCCCGGGCCCGGGAAAGCGTTCCCCGCTGAGTGTGAACTACAGAGAAGTCTGCCCCCTAAGGCAATGGCTACAAATCAGCAGCCCCTCTGCCAGCCGGCCCCAAGTGAGGGCTGGAGTGGGCGGCCCAGCTGCGGTCAGTCTCAAAAGCACCGACAGCAGGGTAGGAGCTTGGGGCACTGTGCTGCCCACTGCTGGATGGTGGCCCTGGTATTGGGTGTCGCGGCCGTGGGAGATTTGAACCTGTGACTGTTCGAGCATCGAGCAGAATGTGCTGTGGCTCACCTCCGCGGCTAGAGCTCTGACAGCGTCTCAGAGCAAGGCTCTTCCCTTTGTTCCCCCGCCGGACTGAGCACGCTGCTGCTCTTAACCACTTCCCCAAATCTGCAGGCCCGGGCAGCGTGCCCAACGGCTCCTATCAAAGCGAGCTCGGCGCGTCGCTGGCCCAGACTAACTAGAACAGCTCCAGCCTAGTGATGCCGCCTGAACAAGTGGGACTTATTCTCTAGGAACAGAAATCTGGGCAGCCGAGGTGGCTGGAGTGAGACAAACGCAGTCCCGTTCTGTTCTGATTCATTGTCCGTCTAGTCCCAGGGACGTACTAGGCTAGATAAAGCAGCAGTATGTGTCCAATAGGCCAGGCCCTGTGTATTCTGCGGCAAACTCCTCAGTTGCAAAATCTATCCTTTGCTCCAGAATTGCAAGTGGCTGGTATTTATGGCTGTCAAGTAAGCCTTGCAAATGCAAACAGATGCAGTGTAGTCTTGCTGGGGTGGCAGCCAGGCTGAAACACCCCCTAAGGGAGGGGTGGATTGCCCCCTTCAGCTTGACGTGTTAACTCTGAAACCTAATGATGGCAGTGCCGCTTAAATTGCCAACTGTTTCACTGCTGATCGTTTAAAAGCCATCCAGCTAATGGGTTTATCCTACACTCTCAAACCACTAAAAGCCCCAGCTGTTCCCTCCAAAAACCTCTAGCCTTCCCCCTTGCAATCTCATCTTCAGCAATGTGAGTTTTATGCTGTCAGTGCACGAACACGTAACACACGGAGAACTTGGGTGCAGCTTAAAACACATAATGTCAAAACACCTAGTGCAAAGGATACGGCACAGATTGGATTAATCCCTTTAAATTCAGTCCAGAAAACCCCTCCTAAAGCTGCTAGAGAACTTGCAGTGTGCTGACACCAGACTGCCGGGTGCCTTGATGGTAGGCCACGACGTTGCATTTGCAGGGAGCTGGACTTGACCCAAAACACTCTCCACCCCTCAGTTCTATGGTTCAGGCTGCCCAGGGTCGAGGCCAGGTTGGGTGACAGGAAGACGGCGCTTTCCCCGTCCCGGATATACCGTGAGCTGTCTGGGGTATTGAATAAAGCTCATTCGTTTATGAAATGCTGTGAGACAATCCGTGACCTCAAGCACTTTTCTAAAGGGCAGTGGGTTGGGGGTAACCCAAGCGCTTGTCCAAACCTTTACAAATCTGAGAAAAGGGGTGGCGGGGGGGAGAATTCCTCCTGTCTTTCAACCAGCCCTAGGTAATCATGAATAGACAGTGGGCCCGTACAAGGCTAAGACACTATCGCTGCAGAGATCAGCAGTGCTCTCCTTAGCTCCTGTCATCCACAGATCTCCAGATCGATAACCTCCTCTCCCAGCATCCTGGGAGGCAAATACTCCCCGTCAGGCCATGAAACAGCGAATAACGGCTCGGGCTGACGGAGCAAGCTGGAACCCAGGAGTCCTGGGCCCCAGACCCCTGCTCTAATAGCTGGACCATGCTCCCGAGGCGATGCAGCTGTGCAGACAGCTGTTTGTTTTTAAAACGCAGCACTCCCTTGGCGCGGTTTGCTCTGCACCTGCCCGGTAGGGAAGTGTCCTCGGCTGAGCCGTGTTCCTCGGTAAATACCAGAGATCCCTCCGCTTCTGTCTGCAATACTTAGAGACTCCTTTTCCTCGTGGGCTGCGGAAGAACCTCGCTCCGTTACAGCCGCGCACCGGTTTTCCCCGCAGGCTAAAGGAACGGGGCCTGCCCATGTGCTCTGAAAAGTGACCCTTCGCTCTGGGGGATGCATGAGCCGGAGTAGAATCCAGCTCGCTCTGCCAGCGCTGCACAGGGCTGATGGGAGTGAGTCTGGCTAGGCCCGGAGCGGATCTGGTCGGTTAAAAAGGGCTGTCTCCCGATTGTAGCTGCATGCAAGAGCCTCCGGCCTCGTCCTTCCCGCTGTTAACCCTCAGAAGGCTGGTGTTTTCCAGCCCGCCAGCCAAAGCAGGACTTAGCACAGATGGAGGAACATTCGGGAGGGGCGCAGCTGAGGCCTGGGCCAGACCCCCACAGGGGACAGGGAGGGAGCACCCCTAGCTCCACTGCCGGCCCCATGCCCGAGATCCCGGCTGCCGGCCTCAGCCCCTCTACCTTTAGCTATAGCCCCAGCCCTCTTGCCCCTGTCTGTGTCCCCCCGCTCCTGGCCCTGGCTTGGGGGGGCGCGGACGGGGCAAGGGGGGGGCGTGAGATAAAACATTTGGGGACCCTGGCTTAGCGGTAGCTGGGGTCACTCTAGCACGTCCTCGGTTCGTTGAAGAAAGGGGGAGAGCTGGGTTTCACTCTCTGCAGGTTTCCTATTCCAACAGTAACCCCCGCTCTGTCTCTGTTCCAGATGGGCTGACAACTTCACCGCGGGGGGCTGCGGCGGGAGTGCAGAGCACAGCTTCCAGCATCCCTTCCTCCAGGTACGGCCGGCGCCCGGCGGGGCCGTGGGTTTCGCCAGGGGGACAGAATCGGGGGGCGCACGCACACCCCCCTCGTGGCGGATCTCTCCTCCCAGCCCCCCTTGCGGGGAGGGGAGATGAACCCAACTCTGCGGAGCCCCAGGCCAGCATGTTGACCATGCTTCCTCTCTGGCCCACCCTGATGGCAGTGCCTTTCAGGAGCAGAGGGGGTTATTCTGGGGAAGAGGGATGTCATGTCCTCCCCCCACCTCCCCATCTCTCCACCCCTTCCTGGATCAGCAGGTTTGCGCAGCAGATCGTCTAATATTTTAAGCTCTGGCCTGTCCCGCCATCCAGCGGCTCCGGGATCCACTGGCCCAGCTGGAGAGGAGGCTACGGTTTGGGACCGAGGGGCACTGCTGGAGCTGTGGGGCGGCAGAGCTTCCTGGGTCTGCCTCACTCCAGGGAACAGTCACTGGGTGAGGAGCTGTGGTTGCCCCCGGAGATCCCAGCGCCCAGTCTCTGCCGAGCCGCCTCCCCAAGCGCTGTGGTTACAGAGCGGCTGTGTCCGTGTTTCAGGCCGTGGGAATGTTCCTGGGCGAATTCTCCTGCCTGGCTGCCTTCTACATCCTGCTCTGCAGGGACCGGCAGAGAGCAGAGCCCAGCCTGGCCCCCGCGCAGCCCTTCAACCCGCTGCTTTTCCTGCCCCCGGCGCTGTGTGACATGACTGGGACCAGCATCATGTATGTGGGTAAGTGCTGGGGGCTCCGACGCGGCTCCGGGCCTGGGGGGCGAAAGGGGGCACCTGATACACAAGGGGCAAGTGGAGTTGTCTTTAAAACTGTGAATCGTCACGACTCTTTGCAGGTGGTCGTTCCTGGGGGGGTTAACCCGCCCATAGTTTGTTTTTTTTAAAAAGGCAAAGAAAACCCCAGCTTTGAACACGGATTAAAAGTGTCATTTTTCATTTGGAAACTGCCCCCTGTTACGGAGCCAACCAAACAAAATTGGCAAGGGGGGAGGGGAGGGGAGGGGAAAACCCCTGATTTCCCCCCACCACACACACACACACATTGCTCATCTGTTTTGCAAAGAGAACAAACCAACAGGCCACCGAGCAATGTATATTCCCTTCTCAGCTCTCCAGAGATTACGCCTTCTCTCGGAGGGAGGCCTGCTTCCTGTAGGGGGTGCCCTCTCCTAGGGGGGCAGAAACTGAAGTTATCTTAAGTACTTATCTGGCCCCGTTACTGTAGTGTCTGAGCACCTCACACTCCGGAATGCAGCTTTCCTTGCGACCCCTCTGTGAGGCAGAGCTATTAGCTCTAGTGTACAGAGGGGAAACTGAGGCACAGAAGGGCAGCGACTTGCCCACAGTCACACAGGGAATCTGGCGGAGCTAGGATTTGAACCCTGGCCTCCTGATTCCCAGGGTAGCCTCCTAACTTTGTCACAGTCCTTCCTCTAAGCTAGCCATTCCCCGAATCGTCTGCTTTACCACTTCCTTCCTCCAGCCAGTCAAGGGGAGGACGGAAGCCCTGTGTCCGCAAATGGCTAAGAAGCTCTGATGATCCGATGTCCTTTATGTAAATAATCAGTTTTAATAAACCCCCCCCTAGAAACTCAGGGCCTGATTTCCCCACTGCCCGGCACCTTGGCCATCCTCATTCACCCCCGTGCAGAGTGGGTGGGAAATGCCGTGAGTTCGCTCGCTTTGCCCAGCTGTAAGTAACACAAGGGGCAAGATGGGGGGGGGAGTGGGCTTTGAAACCAGGGGCACGAATCTCTTTCTGACTACTTCTGGACCGAGTGGCGTGAGGAGATTTTTGGCCGGGGGCGCTGACCCAGAGCCGCGAGAGAAGGCTCTGAAAGGTCACGTTCAAATCAGGAAATAAAACCATCCACGTTCAAATCAGGAAATAAAACCATCCACCACAAAACGCAAGCTGTCCTACCCACAAGCAGAGGGGGTGGAGCCCTTTCCACAAGGTCTCAGCACAGAGCTCACAGCTCCAATTAAAGTCACCCGCAAAAACTCCCTGGCTGGGAGCGACGTGGAGCCGGCGACACCCTCCCATGATGGATGAAGCAGTTAATTGTGAGCACGTCAAAGGAGACGGAGGCTGATTAAATCCTATGTAATGGCCGGTTATTGTGTTCTCCGGCCGCATTCTCCCGCAGGCTGGAGCCATGCGAGGGAGGGGGAGCGTGGGAAGCTTTGAACGCAGGCTGGGAAGGACGCTGTGGCTGAAATATTCTGCCTGGGCCCAATCGCTCCCTCCATGCCTCCCAGATTTAAAACACCTCAATGTGCTGCATTTTGGGGGGGGCTAGAACCAGGGCCCCCGGCTGTGATAAACCAGAGCTCTAGCGTTTGAGTTGGAGGAGACGCTCTGCAAGCTGCACTGGTATAAAGGCTTTTATCCTCTGGGCTTCCAGCCACAAGAGGGCGACGTAGTCCCCCACCCACAAGCTGCTCTGCAGGGGTACGAGTCCCTTGCTTAATGAGCTCCTAAAATGGCCGGGTCTGGAGACAGCTGGCAGGACAGGAATAGCAGGGGGGCTGGGGTGCATCTGGGGGGGGAGGAATGAACTAGCTGGGGGGTCAGGACTGAGGCGCGTCGGGTCCGGCAGCTCCACTCACAAGCACGTTCTCCCGCCGTAGCCCTGAACATGACCAGCGCCTCCAGCTTCCAGATGCTGCGCGGGGCGGTGATCATCTTCACCGGGCTGCTCTCGGTGGCCTTCCTGGGCCGCAAGCTGGTGCCAAGCCAGTGGCTGGGGATCCTGGTCACCATGGCCGGGCTGGTGGTGGTCGGGCTGGCGGACATGCTCGGCACCCGCGACGAGACGCACAAGCTGAGCGAGGTCATCACAGGTACGTGGGGGGGGTCCCGGAGCAAGGCTGGGGCGAGGGGGAGGGGAACGTCCTGGGAGAGCCACGAAGGAATCTGAGAGGGGGCCGTCGCTGGGGATAGATTTTCCGAGTGGGATTGGCTGCGGGGATGCGGGTCCTGAATGCAATAGATTCCTGCTCCAGTTACGCTGCCCAGAGGGTGAGGGGTCTGGGACGGGGCTGTGTCTGGAGACCCCCACGTTTTCTCTTCCCCGTCCCCCTCCAGGTGACCTGCTCATCATCATGGCCCAGGTGATCGTCGCCATTCAGATGGTGCTGGAGGAGAAGTTCATCTACAAACACGACGTGCACCCGCTGCGGGCCGTCGGCACGGAGGGTAGGTGGCAGCTGGGGCTGGGTGGGGGGAACCCCATACCGGGTGCTAGGAGGAGGAGGGAGAAGTGGCTCTGATGCCCTGTGGGCAGCTCTGGGCTACTGACTCCGAGCAAGGAGCCCTCTTGCCACTCCCGCTGGGAGACGCAGCGGGCGGCGTCCTGCAGCCCAGTCTCCGAGGCTGGCGCTAGGCTGCCAGGGTTGAAGCTTTTATGGGGGGCACCTGAAGTGTCCCTGTCCACTGAAGACATGGGGTCCGGGATCTGCGCCCAGGCAGCAAGGACAAACTGGCAGCTGGCGGGAGGGGAGCAAGGGTTTCCACCACTCCAGTCCAAGTGAATGGGGCTGGGGGTGCTTGGAAGAGCTGGCGTTTAGCCAGGCTGCTTTCCGTGTGTCTGAAACAGCGGCGCGGGTGGATACTGCAGCAAGGGGGCGGAATATAGCGCGGCTCTAGGGGAGGCCTCCTTAAACCTCCGTGGTTCATTTCCCGTCCCTGCGGCTCACTTGTGCCCGGCGGGAGGGGCGACTAGATCCTGCGTGACCCTGAAAAACTGCAGCTTTCTCCTGAAATCCATCCCCCAGCAAAACCCGGCTCCAGCGTTCAGGGGCCCCGGATGGGTTCCCGGGGAAGGAAATGCCACGTGTTAAGGGGGGGATTTCTGGGGAACGAGCCCCAACCAGCAGCGCCTGGCTTTTCTGCACCGCCACCCCCTGCCTTGCTCCCTCCCAGGTTTCTTCGGCTTCGTCATCCTGTCCCTGCTTCTGATCCCCATGTACTACATCCCGGCGGGCAACTTTGGCGGCAACCCGCGGCAGGTGCTGGAGGACACGCTGGATGCCTTCTGCCAGATCGGCCGCCAGCCCCTCATTGCCCTGGCCCTGGCGGGCAACATCAGCAGCATCGCCTTCTTCAACTTCGCTGGCATCAGCGTCACCAAGGAGATCAGCGCCACCACCCGCATGGTGCTGGACAGCCTGCGCACCGTGGTCATCTGGGCCGTCAGCCTGGCCGTGGGCTGGGAGACCTTCCACGGCCTGGAGATCCTGGGGTTTCTCATCCTCCTGACTGGCGCCGCCCTCTACAACGGCCTGCACCAGCCCCTGCTCGCCAGGCTGCCCTGGCGCCAGCCCCCGGCGGGTGCCCTGGGCTCTGAGGCCGAGAGGGAGAATCTGCTGGGAGGAGAGAGGGCACCGATCAACGGGGACAGCTGAGGAGCCGGACTCCATGGGGTATGGACGCCAGATCCCAGCACCCCTTCATCCCCTGGCACGGGCTGGGACACCGGAGCCCGCCTCTCTGTACTCTGTTGGCTCTCCTGGGCCTCAGGCGTTCTGGACATGGCTCCTCGGGGGCTCGATCCAGCTCCTCCGGGATGGGAGGTGGGATTCGGAGAGTGAAGGTCACTAGAGGTGCTCCCCTTCCCTATTAAAATGCCTCTGCCCATCCCCCGAGGAGGCCCTGCCATGCCACTGGCGCACCTGGGTTATCCACCCCTTTCTCCCAGGAGGTTGCAGTGACATCCTGTTCTGTGGGTCCCCCCCTTCTCCCCTGACTGCACGACCCAGGGCTGTGCCAGGATGGGTTTATGGACCAGCACCGGCGAATGCACATCAGACCGATGCTGGGAGCTGCTGCCTCTGAAGGAGAGACCTGGGCTCAGGGCCAGGCATGCATTTATTGGTGTCCTTCATCGGGGGGCATCTTTACCTTCTCCCCTGCCCCCCAAGGAGGAGGACTTGCTCTACCCACCTAGTTCCTGCTCCACCTGCAGTGTCTAACCGTGTAACTGGAGGAAACCGTTCTGCCAGGCTGGTGGGACAGGCCCACGACCCCTCTTCTGCGCCGCTTGCAGATGGAGCCTGGCGGAGCATTGGTTACGGCCGTAAACCCTGGAAGCTCTTTGCCTTGGCCGTCTCCTTACACAGAGCTGAAGCCGTCTGCAGGGTGGGGCCCTGTTTGCTGCACCCAGGGTGGCATTGGGGGATTTTAATGCTGCCCGTTGCCTCCACCGGCCCCTGGGTGCTGGGCTACTGGGGGCCCGTAGAGCATAGGTGGGGGGCGGGGGCGTGCTGTGCCATGTGCAGTAAAGTGTGCAATTCCACATGTGCATGCAAGGCGTGACCTTGTGCAAACAGCGTTTGCAAGGTCACACGGGGCGCAGGGGGCCATTTTGTTCTACAAAATGGCGTCCTCCCTGCGGGGGCTGGGTGGAATTGGCCGTAGGGCTGGAGCACGCAGCGTGTACATAGGCAGCAGGCCCCGGGGGGCTGGTTCACTCCCTGCTCCCTCTGTTGATGGGACGCTCCGTGGGCTGTCACGCCAGGCAGGGAGCAATCGAAACTGCTGGACTCACACCAGCCAGGGCGGTCGCTGCCTTACTCACCCTGCAGCGGGGGAGATACAGGCCTGGCTTGGGGGGGCGCATGATGCCAGGGGTTGGGGAGAAGCCTGGGCCTTGTCTCCCTCTTACTGGAATCGATCACCCCCCTGCTGGGGCTTCCTCGGCCTGCTGCAGTCAGGGTTGTTCTCTGTTCCCAGCCGTGGCTGGGCCTGCTAGCCAGCTTCCCCCTCCTCCCCTGCAGACCTGAGCCTTTACAAAGGCTCTCCAGTCCCTCAGAGTGCTTGAACTGGCCCCGGGCCTCGCCATGAGGCACCTCCCCGTGCCCGTCCTGATTGCTTTCCCTGCCCCTTCCCGTGCAGGAGGGAGGTGGTCCCCTTTCAGAGCCACCGTGCCTGTATTCCCCCTTTGGCGAGGATGCCCACTCTCAGCCCCCAGGCTGCTACCGCTCTGGGATGGAGACCCCCCTCTCCCTCCCTTCTGACCAGGGTTCCCTGGGTTGTGCCCAGCACAGGCAGGCTGCCCGGGCAGGCCTGCTTGCTTTCGCCTCCGAGCCGGTTCCCAGCGACTGCCGTAGGTCTGGCAACCCCACAGCACTTCCTCCGCTGGGCTGTTTTATGGTTCAGGTAAAGGCACCGCAGAGAAACCATTACAAGACCCTGTATGCACAGCTTACCCCACCCCTCACATGGGCTCTGGGTCCTTCACCCTCACATGGGCTCTGGGTCCTTCACCCCCACACTCCAGGGGTTTCGGTGTGGTGTCTAGCTCGTCACAGCTTCAGCTCACCCCAAGCACCCCGTCTTACGGGGCCTGGTCCTCCCACCCCTTCCTTGAGGATTGGGGCCCGCTGTGGACCAGAGGTCCTATCTGGGCTGGCTCAGGGGGAAGGCCCTGTGTACCTTTAAAACCCGGCTATTTATCCAGAAATCCTTTCTTTGGCCCCTGGAGAAGGGAGTTCGAACTTGGCTTGTGTTTCTCCCCGGGGGCTGGCTTCAAAGGGCTGATACCCGGAGGAATTCGGGTAGCATCCCCCTTCCAGCTGCACAATTGCACGTTTAACACAATGGGCCCCGTGGTATTAACGTTTAACTCACTCCAGTAACGTGAATCTGACTTCCCCAAGGCTTGTCCAGGATACTGCAGAACAGGGACAGGCCGTAGGGAGCTGAACAGGTGGTGAGCCTGGGTTCTCTCTCTTGGCTCTCCTCTGCATTTCTCCTCCCCAGCTCGCTAATTCCCTCCTTCCCATGCACCCTCCCAACCTCCAATAAAATTCCAAACTTTTCTCCCTTACACAATGGAGTAAAGGCAGCCCCATCTCTCTCCCTCTATCACTGGCATGTGCCCCCTCTGCCCACCCGCTTTCCTGTTCTGTTTGCAGGGCTCAGGCCAAGTGTGCACCACCTGGCTTCTGCCACCAGGCCATGAGCTGATCTGCCCGGTTGTAGTGCATGCAGGGTGGGATCCTCCATCCCCAGGCCCCAGTCAGCTCTGGTAGCTGATTTCCTTCCAGGTAGCCAGCTGCGTGCAATCCCCTACAGACACCCTCCACCCCCCGCATGGCAGCACCATGGCAGACACTGGGACCGAGAGGGCCGTGCCTGTATTTGGGGCTGCTATGATGGATGTCACATCCCCCAAACCTTCCAGCTTCATGGACATGCGCACTTCCAGCGCATCCACCGAGAGAGGAGGGGGGCAAGTGACTTGGGACAAGAGGGGAAGAGAAGCTGTATGCAGGGCCTGCTGGGCTCCTATGATGTGGAACTGCAGCCCGGAGAAACTAGCATCCGTGGCGCCGATGCTGAGGCAAAGCACCGTCTGGCTGGGTTGGCAGAGATGCCCCCCGTTAGCCTGCAGAGGTGCCATGCCCTGTGTGCCTTGGCTGGACAGGGCACTGGTGCTGCGGCCTCATGCCACCACCTGGGGGCACTGCACACAGCCTTCAGCAGGCGCTCAGATGTCAGGGTGATGGGTGGCTGTTGAAGACCCTAGGATGGAGGCTGCAGCAGAGGGTCCGGGAATGTCCCATGCAATGCAATGCTCTGCACGGCAGTGTCTGGGGCCCTTTCCCTGTATCAGGGACCCCCACCCCCATCTGCTGCAGGCGGTGCTCCCAATCCAACACCACTTTCCTCCCAGGAAGAAGCATGGGGAGGTCATGACAGAGAGCTGGGGGCTTGGGCTTCTTTGTAGAGCTGTGGGGAAATGCACCCCTGTGTGCAATGGCTCATGGGGGGGGGGGATTTGGCCCTGGGGAGAGGGCCAAAGGAAGGCAGATGCACAAATTAAGTCCTGCTTACAGGGATGAAGTGAGAGTTGGGTGCTGCCTTGGCCTTGCACTGGCCCTCGATGCAGGGCTGAATTCCTCCCCTTCCCCATGGAGGAACCCCGTCTCTAGGTGAAGGGGGGACTTCTCCACTGACCCACAAGAAGGTGCCCCTGCCATGCCACATAGCCCCCTTCTCCTAGGAACTCGCTCTGCAGTGTCTGTAACTCAACAATTCACACATGCAGGCAATGGAGCTTACTGGGGTGGTGCTTGGAGTGTCTCCTGTCAGGATTGTGGCCCTGTTACGCTAGGTGCTGTACAGATCCTTAGGGAGAGAGAGCCCCTGGCCTGAAGTGCTCATGCACTAAGTATAAGATAGGCAGCAGGTGAATACAATGATCAGGATGAGTAAGGAAACCACAAGTTGATTAGAGGAAGGATTGCTGAGGGGTTTGGAAGACAGGAGTTCAAGTCTTCATTCTGACATAGATTCCCTGCATGCACTTGATATACACTTAGCCTTTCTGTGCCTCAGTTTCCCCTTTGCAAAATAGGAGTGATTACGCCCTACCTCACGTTTCAGTACAGCAAAGATTGTGCACTTGTGTTTCGGTTTAAAGATCATAAGATACTCCAGTGCCATGGTGGTGGGAGCCCTATAAAATACGTAGGCTTGGAAGGGTTAGATTTATGTCAGGAAACATCAGTTTCACCAGACTCACACAAACTGAGCAAACAATGTTTTCATCAGTCATCAAAATGTACACATAGTCACAGTAAGAAAAATGCTGCTTGAAAACTTTCAATTAGAGTGAAAATCCAGCGCTTCAGAGTTTTGAATTAGGCTGGTTACAAGTGGCCACGCGAACGAACAATAAAACCAGATTTGCTTGGGTGATTTCAGGATTGTTTCGATGTGTATTTTGACATGTGGCATTGACAATTTGGGTCTGAACAGTTTATACAGCTTTCACTTCTTTAATCTTGCTATTAACTGACATTAAATAATTGCTGGCCCCTCCCTCCCCCCCATGATTTCCCACAACTATGAACCTTTAAATTGATAAACATCAAAAAATGCTTCAGAATAAAACAGAGATTAGCCACCGAAACTACAAAAATAAAAATTAAATTCTGCCAAGCCTAAGAATGTTTGTGGCGTCGATGTAGCTCTGTTGGTCCCAGGATATGAGAGAGAGAAAATCTTTTGTTGGGCCATCTATTGGGAAGTACGAGCTTTTGAGCTTCCCAGAGCTCTTGTACAGGTCTGGGGAAGGTAGCCGGCGGGTTTGAGCTAAATACGAATTGGGACAGATTATTGGGTCGCGTGCTGTAGGATAGTGGTTCTTAGGGTGACCAGACAACAAGTGTGAAAAATCGGGATGGGGGTGGGGGGTAATAGGATCCTATATAAGAAAAAGACCCACAAATCGGGACTGTCCCTATAAAATCGGGACATCTGGTCACCCTAGAGGTTCTCGACCAGGAGACCGATGGTGGAAACTGAGAGCCTTGGTGTCCCTTAGAGGCCTGGAGCTACCGGGCTGAAGTCCCGAGCCCTGGGGCCCCCCGTGGGTCTCAAGCCTGGAGCCATGGAGCTGAAATGCGCCTCTCCGCTTCTTGGGGCTAAAGCTGGGGAGCCCAGAGCCCTGGTGTCCTATGAGGCAGAGCCTGGAGTCCCTTTCCCCCCTGCCCCAGAAGCTGAAGCCCGGAGCCTCCAGTCCTGCAGGGCTACAGCCCCAAACCCCCCACCCACTCCGCAGTTGAAGCCAGGAGTTTTTATAGCGTGTTGTGAGGGTCTCAGACGGAAAACGGATGAGAACCCGGGCTGTAGGAGAACACAGAATTAAGTGGACAATTGAGGGTTGGATTGTTAAGATCTGGGTACCTTCCCAGATCTGAACATAATGGCCATATAGGGTCAGCCCAATGGTCCATCTAGCCCAGTCTCCTGTCTTCTGACAGTGGCTGGGGTCAGAAGATGCTTCAGAGGGAATGAACAAAACAGGACAATTTCAAATGATCCATCCCCTGTCGGCCAGCCCCAGTTTCTAGCAATCAGAGGCTACAGACAGCCAGAACATGGGGTTGCATCCCTGACCATCTTGGTGGACCTGTCCTCCAGGAACGTCTCTAGTTTTTTTTGAAGCTCAGTGATTTGAGCATTGGTCTGCTAAACCCAGGGTTGTGAGTTCAATCCTCAAGAGAGCCATTGGGGGCAAAAATCTGTCTGGGGATTGGTCCTGCAGGGGGTTGATCTAGATACCTTCTGAGGTCCCTTCCAACCCTGATATTCTAGTCTATGATACTTTTGGCCTGCAACGTCCCCTGGCATTGAGTTCCACAGGTTAACTGGGTGTGAAGAGCTCCATGGTGAGATTCCGAAAAGCCTGTTAAAGGCTCAAAGGGTTAATATCACAGGGTGAAAGCTCCAGCCTCAACCACACCTCCGGCCTCGCAGGAGTTCAGGAGCCGGCGCCTGCTCGTCTCTGGCTGCGGCTTGGCACAGCACAGGGGAGTTTGCAGGGCGCATGGAGGGGCGGCCCTACGCGGAAATCCCCGGCCGGGGGAGGAGCCGGCGGCCTGCGGAGAGCCGGGCTGGGTTGCTTTCGCTTTCGGCTCGCAGGAAATGGCTGAGAGCGACCAAGGGGCGCGCTGCACCCAGGCGGGGGGCCGGGAGGGCGCAGGGGAGTCTCCCGGCGGCGGGGGGAGCTCCGAGCCTGGCCAGCGCGCAGGGGCCGAGCCCGGGGCGAGCTCCGAGCCTGGCCAGCGCGCAGGGGCCGAGCCCGGGGCGAGCTCCGAGCCTGGCCAGCGCGCAGGGGCCGAGCCCGGGGCGAGCTCCGAGCCTGGCCAGCGCGCAGCGGCCGAGCCCGGGGCGAGCTCCGAGCCTGGCCAGCGCGCAGGGGCCGAGCCCGGGGGCTGCCCGCCGGGGAGAGGCGCTGACCCGAGCCCTGCCGAGTGGAGGGGACCCGCCCTAGTGGCCTGGTTTCTCTCCTTACTTGCGAAGGGTCCCGAGGCGTCCAGCCGCAGGGACCGGCCGGCCGGGGAGCCGGACACCCCGATGCCTCAGGTGAGGACACCCACGTGGCCCTGGTTGTGGGGCGGGGGAGTGTTCGTTCCCCGTCTAAATAACCTCTAGGGACCCCCCCCCACGTTGACCTTGCCCCCCCCGACGATGTCTGCAGTGAGCTCCCATTGCACCTGGGTTTGGTGCAGTGTGTGGCTAATCGGCGGCTGCGCTCCACCCCAGAGCTGGGCGCATTTCAGGGCGGGCTGGGAAGGCACAGTTAGGGGACCGACCCACCCCAGGGGTGGTTGTTCCTCTGCCAGCGGCGCTGGAAGATGCTTTGTGTGAGCACTGCAGCCTTGGCAAGAGCACCGGGGTGGGGTGGGGGAGCTGTTATTTGAGAGGTGCCGGGTCTGAGCTGGGAGACAAGAACAACATTAGAATGGGCTCCCCCCCGCTTTCCCCCATCCCACCTTTGTCCCTAATTGACTAGGAGTTTAAAAAAAAATAGCCAAGTTTAGATACTAAGGCTCAGATCCAGGAAGATTTGTAGGCTCCTCCCTTCTGTTGATTTTGATGGAAGGGAGGAGCCTAAATACCTTTGAGGATTTGGGCCTAATTCCCTTGACATCCAGGAATCTCAAAGCTCATTCTTTCATTCTGAGGCCAGAAGGGCCCATTGTCTGACATCCCACTGGCCAGAGACCTGCCTCCCGAATCATTCCTAGAGCAGAGCTTTAGGAAAACAGCCCGTCTTGATTTAAACATCCTCAGTGAGGGAGAATCCACCACAACCCTTGGGAAATGGTGGCTAATTACTCTTACCATTAAAACCTGACGCCTTATTTCCAGTCTGAATTTGTCTAGTTTCAATTTCCAGTCACTGGATCATGTTAGACTTTTCTCTGCTAGATTGAAGAGCCCGTTATTAAACATTTGTTCCCAACGTAGGTACTTATAGACCGGGATCAAGTCACCCCATCTCACAAAAGATGCATTGGAATTGGAGAGGGTACAGAAAAGGGCAGCAAAAATGATTCAGGGTATGGAACAGCTTCCAGATGAGGAGAGATTAATAAGGCTGGGATTTTTCAGCTTGGAAAAGAGACCACTAAGGGGGATATGACAGAGGTCTGTATAATCATGCCTGGTGTAGAGGAAGTAAATAAGGAAGTGTTATTTACTCCTTCTTATAACACAAGAACTAGGGGTCACCAAATGAAATGAATAGGCAGCAGGTTTAAAACAAACAAAAGGAAGTATTTCTTCACACAACGCACAGTCAACCTGTGGAACTCCTTGCCTGAGGATGTTGTGAAGGCCAAGACTATAACAGGGTTCAAAAAAGAACCAGATAAATTCATGGAGGCTAGGTCCATCAATGGCTATTAGCCAGGATGGCCAGGGAGGGTGTCCCTAGCCTCTGTTTGTCTGAAGCTGGGAATGGGCGACAGGGGATGGATCACTTGATGATTCCCTGTTCTGTTCATTCCCTCTGGGGCACCTGGCACTGGCCACTGTTGGAAGACAGGATCCTGGGCTAGATGGACCTTTGGTCTGACGGAGTATGGCCATTCTTCTGTTTTCTTTGCTAAGCTAAATAGATCGAGCTCCCTGAGTCTATCACTACAAGGCAGGTTTCTAATCCTTTAATCAGTCTTGTGGCTCTTCTCTGACCCCTCTCCAATGTATCAACATCCTCCTTGAATTATGGGCACCAGCATTGGACCCAGGATTCCAGCAGCGGTCGCACCAGTGCCAAATAGCGAGGTCAAATAACCTCTCTGCTCCTACTCGAGATTCCCTGTTTATACATCCCAGGATCCCCTTACTCTTTTGGCCACATCACACTGGGAGTTCGTGTTGAGCCAAGTATCCACCACGAGCCCCAAATCTTTGTCAGAGTCACTGCTTTCTAGGATCGACTCCCCCATCCTGTAACGATGGCCTGAATGTATACGTTTACACTGAGCCCTATTAAATGCATGTTGTTTGCTTGCGCCTGTCCTCTTCATTATTTACCACTCCCCCGATGTTGGGGTCAGCTGCATGTTTAGACGTGTGAATTCATTGAGGATTGCCGGGAGGCAAGGGAAGTACCATAGTCCCCTGTTATAGATGGGGAAACTGAGGCAGAAAGAAGGGATGTCCACCAGTGGCAGAACCAGGAATAGGACCCTGGAGTCGTGACTCCCAGTCCTGTTCCTTAACCAGTAGATAGGCTCCCTTCTTACTCTCAAAAGTTAGAGACAGGAAAGGCACATCACGTCCCTCTTGCACACCCCGGTCACTGCAGCTGTCTTCCAGGGCTGTGGGTGGGGAGTTCAGATATCTGCCCAGTGGGAGACTGTTCCACAGGTTGATTGATTGGTGCTGGAACAGTTTATATTGTGCGGGTGCTGAGAGCCATTGAACCAGACTGTAAACCCTGGATATGATAGAAACCGCTTCAAGCCAGGGGTGCGGCAGCCCCCCAGCACCCCCTAGTTCCAACACCTGTGGGTTGACCGAGCCCTTGATTTGAAGCGATCCCCCGATGTCCCCTGAAACTCAAGTGATGGCGAAGGACAAAGAGATTGAAACCAGGCCAAAACACTGGACATTATCGCTCCTGTTTGATTGTCTCTCTGTCTTTAAGCTCGGCGCTAACGGTGCCCGGGGAGCAGCTGGAACGGCACAAGAGCTCCGGAAGACAGCGGAGAGGCTGCAGGCTCAGCTGGAGGTGAGGGACTTTCTGACCATTCAGATTCACTGAGACTTTGTCAAGTCTCAGAGGGGTAGCCGTGTTAGTCTGGATCTGTAAAAAGCAAGAGAGAGTCCCGTGGCACCTTTAAGGCTAACAGACGTATTGGAACATAAGCTTTCGTGGGTGAATGCCCACTTCGTCGGACTTTGTTGTCATGATCAAAGCTACACATGATGGCACGTATTAGAGACAAACCACTGTGTACTTCTCAGAGTAAGAGACACCCAGGGTAAAGCTACACACTGTCTCGGGGGCTCGAGCCTGCGTCCATTTGTCACCGATCCAGTGATGAGGATGAGTAATTTAAATTAAATTAAATTAAATTAATGGAGATATCCCATCTCCTAGAACTGGAAGGGACCTTGAAAGGTCATCAAGTCCAGCCCCTGCCTTCACTAGCAGGACCAAGTACTGATTTTGCCCCAGATCCCCAAGTGGCCCCCTCAAGGATTGAACTCCCAACCCTGGGTTTAGCAGGCCAATGCTCAAACCACTGAGCTATCCCTCCCCCCCTAACGAGTAAATACATCTATTGTTTATTTCTAATATGGTAGAGCCTGGCAGCCCCAGTCCTGGGCCAGGATTGTGTTAGGTGCTGTACAAAACGGCGGTCCCTGTCCGAAAGACCAGGTTGCTGGGTAGTGCGAGATCCTGTTTCTTTCCTCATCGCTGTCTGACGATTCCCGACGGGTTGTGAGATCGCTTTCTCCCGCTTCCCTGCACTTGGGATGCTCGGCTCAGGAAGCGTTTCTGCGTCTCATGCCTTGTCCGCAGCATGTAGGAGTTGTACCACATTAACGACTCCGGTCTGGTTCGAGTGGTACAACGCCCCCTAGTCTGGACACAGTTCTGCCAGTACTGTATAAAGGTGCTTATACCGGTATAGCTAGCTCTGTTCCAGAAGGGGTTCATAGATTCCAAGGCCACTGTGATCATCTGGTCTGTCCTAACGCAGGCTGCAGGACTTCCTGGGATGAATTCCTGTTTGGACTGGAGCATTGCTCTGAGAAACCTCCTAGAAATGGAGAGCTGGAAGGGCCCTCAACAGGCCATCTAGGCCAGACCCCTGCCCTGAGGCAGGACTAAGTGTTATCCAGACCAGCCCTGAAGGGTGTTTGTCTGAGCTTGATTTAAAATTCCCGGGGAATAAGCTCTATTGATATCTGGCACCTTTATCCCGGTTTAACTGGGTCCACACTGGGGCTTTTATCAGCATGACTCAGTAAAGAATCAGCTCTTTGCCCCCCACAGTTCTAGGGGTACAAAACCCGTATGTAGGGCAGGCCTCAGCCGCTCCTTTGTCATGTTGGTTGCCCCGTGGCTCCCCTCTGGGTTTAGATAGTACTTGCTGCCTCCCAGTTTCCATCTACCTGAGCTACTTACCTAGCCATGGTCCCTGAGCACCTCCCAGTGTTTGATGTATTTATCCTCCCAACACCCAGGGGTTGGGACGTGCTATTCTCCACACTGTACAGCTGGAAACTGAGGCACACAGACACCGCAGCGCTGGGTGTTAGGCACCTAAACACCTTGGAAGATCTGGGCTTGCCTGAGTGACTTGCCCAAGGTCACGCAGCAAGTCAGGGATGGAACCCAGGAGTCCTGGTCCCTGGTCCCATGGTCAGACCAGGCTATTGCACCATCTCCCTGGCTGGTGCCTGCTCCCTGTGCCGGGATGTTGAATAGCACTAAGCCCCTTCTACTCCCCGCAGGCTCTGAAAGGCTCCTCGGACCCTGAGACCCTGGAATTCCTCCAGGCACTAGAAGCGCCCGTCAGAATCGCCAGCCGCGTGCTCACTGAGAACCAGAGGCTACGGCGGGAGTTGGAGGAGTTGAAGGGCAGGTTGGCAGCTCCACGGCCCCTGGAACCAGCCAGACAGCCTCCAGCTCCTTGGGCATCGTCCCCCTGGGCCACCCGGAGCACAGGTAGGCACCGGCCCGCCATGGACAGGTACTTCCCCTGACCGGGTGAACACGGGGGAGCCTGGGTAGGGCTGGAATGGGGGTTCCTTTCCCCTGTGAGGAGCAGGGACCAGAGACCTAACGCCAGGCAAGCTGAGGGAGCAGTGGGGCTGGGGTCACCTCCATTGATTGGGGCAGCAGTGCTCCACCTCAATTGGGCTGCGGCCCCCAAAATGGCTGAAAGACCCTCCTGCAGCCTCTCCTCCCCCCAGGACTGATTTTACCCACAATCCTGTGGGACTGAGGTCACAGGATGACTTTCCAGCCATTGCGGAAGCTGCAGGTGGAGCAGGGGAGGGTTGGAGCTGCTGGATGTGTTTGGGGAGGCAGGGGAGGACTGGCGCTGCTGGGGGTGGGGGGGACAGGGGCATATCTTGTGCTGCTGGGTAAGTGAGTGACAAGTGCCAGCAAACTCGTATCATGGCCCCAGCTTTCCCCGCCCACGAACCAAACTGATACTTGAGAACAGCTGGATTGATTTGGCAGGGTTAAAACAAACAGGCCCCTCCAGCCCCCTTGGGTACCAGTCTCTGTGGCATCAGGGATTTGCCCTTATCAATAGCAGTAGTAGAGCTTATACCCCTCTGGGTTTGCAGCCACTAGGGGGCAGACTACCCTGCACAGGAACAGGGCTGGGCCTCCATCCCACTGGCTGAGCCGGGCCCAAAGGGGAGATGTCTCTAACCTGCCCCCTTCCCTGCCAGCCTTGCCCCTGCAGGTCCACGTGAGCGGGAAGACGGCCGGCTGCGAGAGCCAGTTCTTGGACCAGGTGGCTCAGCTCCTCACGGCCCAGGGCATCTCCCTGCAGGCAGGGGAGTACGAGCCGCACTCCAGCTGCCCGCTGCTGCTCTTCTGCCCCATCTCATCCCGCTCGGGCACAGACATCAGCAACGCCCTGGAGGGGATCCCCGGTGAGTGGCCCTTTCACCTGCATGGGCTGAGCCATTCTCCAGCCAGTACCCCCTCCCCTTCCTTTCAACTAGGGGACTAGGAGCAGAGCCCCTTAAACGAGTGGACCCAAAGCACCTGCCTGGTGCAGGCATCGAACAGCCAGGGACTTGCCTGGCTCATGCACCTCAATCCCCACCCCAGCTGTCAGTCCTTAACCCTCCCCTTTGTGCTCCGCCCCCTAATTTAGTGGCAGATTAGCCACTGGGCTGATAGGGCCTATGCCTAGGGGCCCTGGCCAACTGTGGGGCCCCTGGAACAAACCCACCCCTGCCAGCAGCCACCTGTAGCCCTGGCTGTCAGGGCAGGGGAAGTCCCTGCACCCTGATTCCACTCTGCAGCAGCTGGATGGGGTTGGGGGCAGCCCCTTCCTGTGCCGCCCCCCCCACCCCCCATGCAGCCACCACTGCTGGGCAGAGGCAGCCTTCCCCTCCCCCATCAGAAGCACCAGGCAGGAGAAGCCCCAGTGCCCTGATCCTGGTTCCCCACAGAAGCGCTGGGTGGGGCAGACCCCTACTGCAGCCTGGGGCTGTGGTGCAGGGGATGGAGATTCTCTGGTCTTGTGGCTGCAGGAGGTGGGGGAGGAATGTAGTGGAGCTTGCGTGGAAGAGGGGTAGGGGCAGAATGGGGCGGGGCCCCAGGAAACCTTAATCTGCCCCTGACGCCTGTTCTCTCCCCTGCGGCCCAGCGGCGAGGAAGACGATCCTGGTGGTGCTGCACCACCAGCCCAACGAGCGGGCCGAGCTCTACGCCAGCAGCAAGCGGGAGGCGCAGCACTCCGGGCTCCTGAGCACCGTGGACGGCTGCTTCTCCACCCACTCCGGCTTCTACCCGTGCCAGGCCAACGCTGCCGCCGTCGCCGCTGTGGCTGCTGTGCTCCAGCAACTGGCCGTGGGCAGGCACTAGGGGGACTTCCTGCAGGAGGCAGCCGGCTCTGCGAGCTGGGACCTGGAGTGCCTGTGGGGCTGGGCTAAGCCCTGGTGACTGCACTGCCCTGACCAGTCTAGCTGGGATGGCATGGGGGGATCCCCAGCCCTGCAGCATAGTGGACTGTTACCTGTAGGAATGCCCGTCTCTGGGCTGGAGCTGTTCCTACAAACCTTTGCTTCTCTTACGCCCCCCAACTACCCTCATGTTGGTCCATCCCCTCCCCCCCCCCCTCCCATCCATCACACTTAGGGCAGCACTTGGCATCAGAGCTGTGCAGATGCATTAGTTCCTGCCCCATTGTACAGCTACCCCCCCTCCCTGTGCTATGGGGGGGGGTGCCACTCACTCCCCTGAGCTGCCCCCAGCCCACCTGTGAACACTGATCAGTCCCTACAGGGATCTCATGCGAGCCATGTGATGAGACAAGCTGTGGTGCTTGTGGATTCTGTTACAGCTGCTTCCCCTCCCTGGGGTTGGGGCCTGGTGTGCTTGGAGCTGGACCTGGGGGGCAGGCATTGTGCTGGGCACACATCACTCCTAGCGCAGTCAGGGCCAGAGCTGCCACAGGCTGCAGCGGGAGACCGAGGGAGGCTCCATGGCCTGACGCATGAGTGTTGTGTTCTGCTCTGGCGAAGGTGCTGTCTTGGCGCTGGGCTGCTCCCCAGCCATGGGCACCTCCCTGTATTTCAGGATACAGCCTGAGCTAGGTGCCTGGACCCCAGGGGCTGGGGGTGAGGGTGTTGTACAGCCAGATGGGTTGCAGCTTGGGGTGGATTTGGAGAGTTCTTGGATTTTCCACTTGGGGGTTGACAGCCCCTGGTTGGAGCCAGCCCCAGGGGTTGTTCAAGTGGCTATGGGTGGGGTATTTTAGAGAGCTGTCTTAACCAGCCCTCTGCACACACACCCCCTGCAAGCAGGGCTGCTATGGTGCCCATGAATATGCTACCTCAGGGCTTCTCCTTTGTCCTACCCTGGGGCTCCTAACTCGGCCCTAGAGGCTAGGGCCCACGTCTGATGCTGCTGCCTGGGGTTGGTGGAGCTGCACCATTAGTTCTGGTATGGCAGGCTTGTGCTTTTCAAATGCACAGGCCCCCTGCTGGGTTCCTGTCTGCGACCCACCTACAGGGAGTGCTGGATGTGGAAGATGTGGTAGATCTGGGCTGAGAGCGTGGGCCATATGTTGGAGTAATGACTATACGGATATGGACCAGGGGGTTGGAATGCCCTCTAGAGCCCACCTCACCTGCGGCCTTTTTCATACACTACAGAATCACCATGTTTCCCTCACGCACCTGCTCCTTCTCCCTTTTTGGAGCCAATAAACTACACCAAGCCAGGCCGGCTTCTCCACGTCGGATCTAAATTTTATTTCTCCTTTTGGGTCCCTACAACCCAGCAGCAAAGTGCAGGCAGTACAGTGTTTAACCTACTAGTGCAGACAGCGAATCAGGGCGGCGTGCCAGGCCGAGGGCTTCTCCGCAGCGCTAGGGGGTCTATGCAGCATGGAGCAGGGCGTCGCTGAAGGCTATGGCTTCTCTCTTCCGAAGACCAGACTGAGGATCAGGGCAGACGAGGGCATCACTCGCTGGTGGAAAGAAGAGATGGTGCATTGAGTTTAGCACAGCACAGGTTTTAGGGCAGCAGAGCGGTGTGTAGGGTGGTTTGGGGCCAGGAGAGGGCTAAGGAAACCACATCACTGCCCTGAGGAGATCCTTCTCAGGAGAGTTTGCCTGTTGATAAAGGCCCTAGTCTGAGGCTTAGCCCTACGTTCAAATCCCAGTTCTGCTACAGGCTTCATAGCTACACACTGGAATAAATTGCCCAGGAATAAATTGTAGAATCTCCATCATTGGAGGGTTTTAAGAGCAGGTTTGACAGACTTGTCAGGGATGGTCTGATAAAGCTTAGCCCTGCCATGAGTGCAGGGGACTGGACTAGATGACCTCTCAAGGTCCCTTGATTCTATGGGCAAGTCATTGAGTCTGCCTCAGTTTCCCCAGCTGCAAAGCAGAATATTTCCTTCCTTCCCCCTCATCTTTTATCTCGTCTATTTAGAGCACAAGCTCTTTAGGGTGGGGATGGTCTTAGTGGGTTTGTGCAGTGCCGAATACAAATATTATAAGTCAGCCTGGTACAAGTGAGCAATGGGGAGGTTGGATTGGAGCACTCCAGGGGATGAGCAGGGTTCCTTTTGATGGTGATTGGTTATTTCTCTGGCCCTTTCCAGCCCAAGGTCATTTATGAATCTAACAGTTGCAAACCTCTGCCCACCCGCCCCTGAAATGCAACCATTTCTGGAGTGGAACACAGCGGCACTATACAACATAGGGTGGGCATGGGAGAAACCGCCGCCTATAGCTGTTGAGACTGGGGGAAGGATTTTAGGGGAGAGGAAGTCGGACCCTGCTTAGCTTACAAGCTCTGACGCGCTAACATCCCAAAGCACTATGGCCTAAGCAAGACTTTTCTGCTCTCAGAGGCTGCTCCGGGCTGGGAGCCTATGTGCCAGGGCTGCGAACTCACATGGTATTCTGCTTGTAGCGCTTCAGAGCCTCGTCCGCCACCACCTCCATGAACTTGGGGTCGTCCCAGGGGATCTCACCCGGCACGGTCAGGGCCAGCGGATCCGAGTCGAAGAGCTGCACGGTCACCTGGGTGTCAGAAGGTCTGGAGGAGTCCTTGCGGCTGGGGGTCTTGGAAAGCACCTAGGGGAGGAAGTGGGAAGGAGCCCGGTAGCACCAGGGGATGGGCAACTTGAGAGCTCTGCTGGTGCCCTTGAATCCCATCCCTGCCAGTCCAGCCCTGAGCTCCACCAGCTCTACCAGGACCCCGCACTCCAGCCCCACAGCCTGCCTGATTCTAGTCCAGCCCAGGCCCCTGACGCATGGTGGACTCCATTCACAGGGCTGGCGGCAGCAGTCCTGAGTGACCCAGCTGTGCCCCTGCACGGCTCAAAGGCTTGTGAGAGGCTGTCAGGGCAGAGCAGCACTTTTGTCCCAGAGACAATTGCCCGATTATACACATCCCGCTCCTGACCCACTTTGCCTCTTTCCAGCTCTCTGCTATTCTAGGGAGGGAATGGGGGGGGCCCCATGGGAGCCAGCGCTGGCAGCTGAGCTGAACTCAGGAGCTCCATGCCCAGCTGGGTGCATGGCCCATGTGATGCAGGATCCAGTGGGGGGGGGGGGGAGAACTGTGGGGAATGGACCAGTCTTGGCAGCAGAGCCACTCAGATGTCTGTTTCCCAATGGGCTTTGATGCCTCATTCATTTGGGTGGCACCAGCTGGTGCCAATTGGGTCGCACCCAATGTCAGGCTCCAATGGGCCTCCCTGCCCCCTAGTCCTGCTGGCCTGGGAGCATGCTCCCACCCCACTCCTCTTCTCCCCAGCCCATGCTGCCCCATTCCCCTCTCCCCCTGCTCCTCTGGGCAATGTCTCCCAGCTCCCTGCTCTGCCCCACAGCTGGTCCCTCCTGGCTGTCAGGTGCCTCCAGTCCAGGCTCTGTCACAAAGTGCGAGTGTCACATGTCCACCAGCTCTCCGGAGACCAACAGGAAGTGCCCCATGGGCCAGCAGAGGGAAATCGGGGGACAGCGTGGGAATCAGATATTAGTAGCCCATAGCTCCATCTTGGTGCCACCCCCAAGCAGCACAGGAAGGGCAGTGGGGACCCACCGTGGTGACCTGCAGCATGCCGTCGCCGTTCTGGGTGAGGTTGGCCAGGCGGGACACCCAGCCAAACTGCTTGTTGAGCTGGTCCAGGAGGCTGGAGGTGTTGAGCATCTCCTCCTGGAAGGTCCTCAGCAGCTCGTCGTACTTGCGGGTGAAGCGCTCCGCCAGGCGCAGGGCATCCTCGAACTGCTCCCGCAGCTGGCTCTGGGCCGGGTCGGTCTGGGAGCAATCTTCAACCCGGGGGAAGGAGGAGACGAGGGCATTATAAACACAAGAAGGGGTCAAAGATGGACTTGCCAGGATCCCCGAAAGCAGGAGGGCAGGACACCTGGCTCCTGGCCCATTGCCCTGACAGTGGGTCTAAACCCCGTGGAGACCCGCCCCCCCAAAATCCGCAAGGGGTCGAGTGGGACTCTGGCTCCTTGGCTTTGTCAGCCCTCGGTTTCTCCACCAGCAAAGCCAAACCAACCAGTGCCATTGCTGGTGTTAGGACATAACATCTCCCCTAACAGCACCAACCCCTCCAGCCCTGCTCCCCTGCCGGCTAACTCGGGGTGGGGAGGTTAACAGCATGCAGTCACCACCCGAGTCCACTCACACCCCATCACTAAACCCGCAGCCAGCCAGCCGCCACTTGGCTCTCAGAACCACAGGCTGCTCAGTTGATCGAGGCCTGGGGGCCTGGTGCAGACCGTCTCCCCTTCCATTCCCCTCCATGTTACACGTGGGTGGTAACTTAGGTCTATGGCCAGCTCTGAGGAGGTGTCGATTGGCCTGACTCCAATGGAGCTGTGCCAGTTGACACCACCGAGAACCTGGTCCTGGATCTGTCTGGGCCTAAATGCTGGTTACACATTGGAGTCGAAGATATTGGAGCAGTACTGAAACGTGTGATATTCTGCACCGAAATTGCCTAATCTAGTAACACAAAATACATATGGGGGGAAGAGATGCAACACTGCCCCCTGCTGGGGAGAGGGGGGGAAATCACATCTAGATAAGACCCCCATTTGTCTTACCCAAGAGGGGTGAGAAGCCGCAGTGCCGGTGAAAGGCGCTCACCAGCAGGGATGGAACTAGAGGACGCAAGTTCTACTCCCCCTGTGGGGTGTTTATCTATGAAAACACAGGCTGTTACCAGCCCCTGGTTATATTGGTCTCCTTCGCTCACCTACAGACAGAATTTCCTGGCATTTTTCACACTTATCCTTCATCTTCAGGCAGCCGGCAGAATTGCGGCGGATTTCCCGGCACACCATGCGGTTGTCACTGGAGTTGCGAGTCTCTGAAGGGGTGGGGGAGGGAGGAGACACCACAGAGGTATAGCTTTACTTCTCAGCACGGGCAAGATGCACCAGCTCTCGTGCATTTGTACAGCACCTTGCACTCCAATGCTCTTTACAAAGTACTAGTCATGTAGACAGTAAAGCCTTCCCGCCCCACTGAAGTGCAGTTGCTTCTGGGGTGGAGTGTGGCAGCTGTTTAACAGAGCACAGCAACTCTGCACAACAGCTCAGGATGGGAAACCGAATACTGCAGCCATTCAGAACCAGGGAAATATAGCAATTAACCAGACCCTGGAGTCTTAATCCCTCAGACACCCGCACAAGAATTTAAGGTTAGAGAGTCTGTCCTGTTATTCCCATCAAGTCTGGCAAATGATTCAAGAGCTTGTGAATCACCTACTTAGGAACGTAAATAAGCTTCAGATTGCTTTTGCCGTAATCCCCTGGCCCTGACTTTATTTATTCTACAAGGCTTGAAAGTGCTCCTGCGATTGCTTTCAAGCCAAGCCGGGATGAGGCAATACATCACCGCATGGCTCCTGGAGGGAAGGCATAACAATACCACTGGAATTCTATTTCTAGCACCTTTCATCTTCAGACTATTAATACATGAACTAATCCAGTCTCGCCCACCTGTGTGAGGGAGGTGAGACGACCAGCACTGCCCTCTACTGGACAATCAGAGCTGCCCATCTGTGGGTCATAGGCCTTGTGCTTCTAGGAGCCCACAGAGCGTCCCCTTTAGCACAAATGGCCAGGGCCTGTGCTTTTATCTGGAGCGTGAGGTTCCAGGTTCTAGCTTTGCTGCGAACTTCCCAGTGGCCGGAGTGCAGCATAAAGACAATCTCGGAGCCCTAGGCAGCCATGGATTTGTCAGAGTCAGACCCACTCTATGGCTGGGGAACACGAGGCAGAGACAAAGCGACTTGCCCAGTGCTGGAGCAGAAGCCAGCGTTCCCCCCACTCGCCACCCTGTGCTGGGATCACAAGAGCAAACCTCCGTCATGGAATTCAGGGGCATCTCGTGTGGTTTCCCCAAGTGGTGATTTGAACCAGAACGGCCACCCCACTGCTCAGCAGGAAGCCGACCAGTGTCCTTCTCATTCCATGAGAGAGCTGCTGCCTTGCAAAATAAATCCAGGGATCAGAGCAAGGGTGGAGGAAGACGGCTCCTCCGCTTTTGTTAACAGCAGATGGGAGCGAACTCCCCCTGCTGTTTCAGTCTGCTTTGACCATGGCTGAAAGTATAACAGGATGGGGGGGGGGGGGATTCCACCTTGAGCTCACTCAGTCCAGGGACTGGAGCTGGGTGGAAACCGGACATTCCATGTTGCAGGAAATTCCAGGATTTCAACATTTTCCCCCCCCCAACCCGAGACAAAAAACAAACTT